ATGCATTTACGTGAAACAGTGAATTTCTTTTAAAGGAAAACGATCCATAGAGAATAGTCCTCGTGGTTCACAAATGGGGCACAATATGGGCTCAAAACCCCAGCAGATGTGGCCACGGCGCAGGGAGCACTGAAGGGTCTGATCTGGGGGTCCGGGCATTTGGACCAGGGCCGGCGGCGTGCCCTGGCAGCTTGTCAGAAAAGCACCCCAGGAGGCCCCACCCATCCTGGACCTCCCGAAGCTGGACCTGCATTTGAATGAGCCCCCAGGGCATCTGTGGGCACAGAGATGCTTGAGGGGCACGCGCTCGAAGGGGCTGGTGACACTGAGAGTCGGAGTGGGGGGGAGAGGCGGGGGTGGGGGTGGGGGTGGCTGCCCAGGAGTTCCACTTGCAGCCAGAAGAGGCTCAGGTCTCCTGGGAGCTCCTGCCTGCTCAGCACACCACACACACACACACACACACACACACGTGCACACTCGGCCCTGATGTCGGGGGGGCCTCCAGCCTGGCTCTCAGGAGGACCCTCCCCTTCAACCCCTGACAGCCCCACCCCACCCCGACCGCCACCCCCAGCAGCTCCTTGGGGCTTCTGAGAGCCCATCTGCGCTCCCGCAGAGAGAGCAAGCAGGTACCTTGGGCAGCCGGGTGGGGGCACTGTTCTGGCCCTGGGTGTGCCTCCAGTCCCCCAGCCCGGCAGCCTGCCGGCACGTGGTGGATAAGCCACAAAAACTCGAATGTCTGAAGAAAATTTCTGAAATGTGGGCACCTCGGTTATCGATGCTAGAGAGCAATAATGATGAAATGACCCCGAAGTGCTCATTTATCCTCTGGACTTTATGGACACTCAATGTCAGGAATAGGAATAGGGAGAAAAAGATGAGTAAGACATGACACCGGGGCACCTGGGTGGTTCAGTTGGTTAAGCATCTGCCTTCAGCTCGGGTCCTGTGATCGAATCCCCACTGGGGCTCCTTGCTCAGCGGGGAGTCTGCTTCTCCCTCTCCCTGTGCCGCTCCCCCTGCTTGTGTTCTCTCGTGCTTGTGCTCTCTGTTAAATAAATAAATCTTTAAAAAAAAAAAAAAAGACGTGACACTAGCCATGGAGCAGAGAGGACACATATCCTGCTTTCTTTGTGACAAGGCTGCACGGTCAGTGGACAGGACAGCGTTAGAAACCAGATCTGCAGCCCCAGGCTTGGGGCGGCGGGAGGGGCGGGGCGGGGGGGGGCAGGGAAGAGGGAGCAATGTAGCCTGGCCAGGGGCAGGGGTGGTGCTGGGCTTCCAACAAAGGGTAGTGTTTCATCTGAGTCAAGAAGAATCGAGAGGACTCTCTCCCAGGTCAAGGAGGCAGAAGGTGTTCCTCGCTGAGGGAACAGCCTAGGAGTAGAAAAATGCACAGCATTGTCGGGAAGGTGAAAAGTCTAGGTGAGCAAGGGTCAAATTCCTCCTGGCCCAATTAAAAAATAAATTCCTCAGGGCTGTCTGGACCAGGCTCCGGAGTTTGGACTTTATCTCATGGGGAACTAGGGATGGATGCGGTGGGCGGGGTGGGGGGGTGTGTTAAGTAACAGCATTATCGAGCGGGCGAGCCCATTAATTATTGACAGCTGCGTGGCTGGAATTGGTGGTAAAGACCTGGAACCCCCACCCACACCCCCCGCACGGCCATGGCCACACCCATGCAGTTGAATCAGGACCGTCCCTCCTTCCCCGAGTCAGATAACTGGAGCAGGCTGATCCTCTGACCTGATTGACAGGGGGCCTGATAAGACCAGACAGGTGGGTGGAAGGAGAAGATTCTGTCCTGGCAGTGGGAGGCCCCAGCGAGTGCTCAGGGTGAGGCCTCCCTTGGGCATCGGCCCTGCTGAGACCCGGCCCCGCTCCCCTGGCCCCCACCACACAGAAGTTGCTTCCCCAGTCCCGGGGCCCTGTGGAGTGCTGGCACCTGCTCCCACAGGCTCGGGAGGGCCACCTCTTCCAGAATCTTGCAAGCTAATTGTTAAAGGCAGCCACAATTAAAACTTCAGTTATATAAACTAACAGGGAAACGGCATAAAACAGAGGTGACAAATGCCTTCAAACCCCACCACTTCCTAATGATTCACTAATTCACTAATTCGCTAATGATTCACTGCACCTCCGTCCAGGCTGTGTCTACTGCGTGTGTGTCATGGAGATCCAGACAACGGCAGGCTCCTGTGTGTCTCTGCCCAACTCCACGTTCAAATTGGAAGCTTGGACTTGGCCACAGGGGGAGTATTTACACCGGCGAAATCAGCGAGCGCTACAACCCAGAGTTCCGTAGAGAGCTGGTCCCTTTAGCATTTGCCACTGCTCACCTCCACCCCCTGCTTTGCTGGTTCCCCAGGGAAGCGCAGCTGCCCCTCCCAGGCCTGTTCTCCCAGCAGCGCTTCTAGTCTGGTCAGATTAGAGGGAGCTGTGGGTGGACGTCAGAAGACACCCTCACCAGGAACCCTGAGCCATCTGCCCCTGAGGATTTACTTAGTCCTACTATAGGGTGTCTCTGTGCGCTCTGCCCGGAGCCCCCTCCCACCCTGATCAGGCTCCTGCAGGGCCTGGCAGTGTGGCTTGACCCCTGGGGCTGGGGAATGGAAGAGGGGCCTTGCCTTTGTCACACCAACCCCCTACAAGCAGGTGGCCGGCAACCATGCTGGACATCTGTCTGGAGTACTCAGCTCCTGAATGCCACCATGGGGCCGGCCGCCCTCTAGGGAAAACTCACCCTCGAGAGTTGTTTGTTAAGAGTTTGTTAAAATCAAGAACATCAGTTCATCTGAAGACACCACTGAGAGAATAAAAAGACAACTAGCAGACTGAGGGAAGGCATTCGTCATACCTAAAACTGACACGGGGCTCATATCCAGAAGGAGTAAGGAACTATCTAGGTCAGGAGGAAAAGACAAGTCAATTACGAGCTGGCGAAAGAACACACACTTCATGGCAGAGGATACCCAGACGACCCAGTTCACCTAGGGAAAGGTATGCAGCCTCCTTCGTGTGCAGGAAATTGAAATTTAAATAAGTCCCAGCGAACCATTGCGACACACCCACCAAACTGGGGAGCGCTTTTAAAACAGAATGACAGATATTGCTGAGGATACAGCAACACAACCGAAACTCTCGTGGGAGTGCAAACTGGTCCTACCTCTCCGGGAAACAGTTTGGCAATATCTGCTCACGCTGAACCTCCAGCCCAGGAGTTCCCAGCGATGAGCGGACTCGTCTCCCAGCAGCACTTGGATGCTCATCACCGCCTTATTCACGATAGCCCCAAACTGGAGATGGTACCATGTCCTTGAGGCAGCGCCCAGAGTCGGTTCGTGGCATGGAGAACTATGCAGCAGGGAGAACGGCCTAGAGAGGTGCTCCCTGAGCAGAATGACTTGCGCAAGGAAGCCGGGCATGAAAGCGCACACGCTGCCCAAGTTCATGTGCCTACAGGTCCAAGCAGTGGAAACTAACACATAGCCATAGACCCAGAATAGTGAGTCCCTCTGGGGAGAGGGCAAGTTGTAGGAAGAACACTCACTAGAATCCCAAAGTTTAAAAAGCAGCAACAGTCCTCCTTGCTGCATTGTAGACCTCTGCTGCTTTGGCTGTTGGGGGTGGAAAGTTCAAGGACAGGTTGCCCATCTGAGGAGCCTCCACCTTCCTCGGGAGCCACCGGCTGGCCAGGCAGGGACTCAGGGGGAAACCAGAATAGTGATCTCATTTTGGCTTCAAGGAAGATTTCCACTAGCAATTCCACTTCTCATCTCTTTATACGTAGGTATCAAGCATTTTCTTACCTGACACCGTACCAGGCACTGTTCAAAGTCTTTCATTATTATTAACTAATTTAGCATGCTGCCTTTTCCATTCATCCAAACCTCTGGGGACGTCTACCAGTGCCCCCTTTATCAAGCACTTACTATGTGGCAGACAGGAAGCTATCACTTAACTCTCACATGAGCCCTTGGGAGGCAGATATGTTGTTTCCATTACAGATTAGGCAACAGAGGCTCAGAGAGGTTCAGTGACTTGTCCAAGGTCACACAGCTCAGTGGTAGAGCTGAGCTCTAAAGCCAGCTCTAGCACTTCTCCAAGCACCAGGCGGAGACAGGTGTAGTGACCACCTTGAACCAAACAACCTTTCCAGACAGGGTTTTTAGGCTTCAACTCCGGCATAATGAATCAGAATCTCTAGCCCTTAGACCCAACTGAGCAGTGGAGTATCCCACAGAGGTTGTTCAAAACGAATCCTGATTCCCATCTGGCACTACAGAGCCAGACTCCATGCTCTGCACACAGTAGGCGGTAGGGCCCATCTGTAGATGGAAGGAAACCTGCCTGCCTGGCTTCCTCTTCCTCCAAGAAGTGTGTGTCTGCGCAGGAGTGGAGGCGCTACCGAGTCCCTCCCTTCCTTCCTTCCTTCCAGTCTCTGGGCAAACGGCGTGTTTCCTCCTCTGGGAAGCCCTCCGGGACCACCCCAGCTTACCCACGCGGTACTGCTCACCCTTTTGCTTTGCCTTAGTTGCCTTCCTCGTGTCTCAGTCTTTTATATGGACCAAAATGAACCATATGAAATTGTCTTCTCTGTAGGTCAACAGTAGTTGAAAATGGGACCTTTTATCCCCGCCAATTTAAGCTTTTCCCTCCCCGGATGTCAATTCCCGCAAGGGGTGGGATGTCTGCGTGTGGCTCACAGCCCGTCCCCAGATGAAGCCCCGCACCCGGTAGACACCCAGGAAACAAACGATGGGTAGATCGCTGGGAGAGCCTGACGGCTCCGAACAGCCGCGAAGCAACACGCGGGCCCCGAGGTGGAGCCGGAGGGCCCCCGGCACCACCCTCTGCCCCGCCGTCCCAGGCGCAATCCCGGGCGCCTTCCCGGCGGCGGCGGCGGCGGCGGCCCGGCGGGGTGGGGCTCGCCGTCATCCATTTACCAGCCTCGCCCCTCCGGCAGGCGCACGTTAATGAGATTAGCAATTAAAAAGCGAGTGAGCAGCCGGGGCTGAGGCGCGGGGCCACCCCCAGGCCGAGCGGGCGGGTCGTGCGGGCTGCGGCGCTCCGAAGCAGCCCCGCGCGGCGCCCGAGGGGGAGCCGGCTTCCAGCTCGCGGCCATGGAGAAGTCGCGGCCGCTGTGGGCCAACCCGCTGCAGTTCGTCTTCGCCTGCATCTCGTACGCCGTGGGCCTGGGCAACGTGTGGCGCTTCCCCTACCTGTGCCAGATGTACGGCGGAGGTGAGTGCGGTCGGTGCGGGAGCCCCGCCTCCAGGCCGGTAAACTGAGGCTCGCCGCGAGCGAGGGGGCGCGGGGGTGCAGAGCCCGCCGTCCCGGACCCCGCACATCCCTATCCGCTGCCGACCTGTTACCCAAAACCGCCCTCCCGCGGCCTCTGCAACGCCCCAGCCCCAGCCCAGAGGCCGCCGAGCCTCCTCGGGATCAGGGAGCCTCAGGAGGCTCGGGACTGTTTTCCCCCCGGGGCAAGAGGCTGACTTCTAGGGAGTAAAGCTGACAGTTAAGTGTAAAAAGTGAGCAGGGAATTGTCTTCTTCAACAGAAACTCCTGCTACAGTTTTCAGATAGGAAACATACTCCCAGCAATTTGGTTTGAAACCGGTTACAAGGGTCTTGAGCGATTCTTTAATTTTTTTTTTTTAATTATGAAAAACACTGGTTTGAATTTGGAACCACAGATGGCAGGAAAGGCAAATCATTCTGTTTCTAATTTTTTCTTGTTTTGTTTTTTGGTTTTGTTTTCTTTTTTGTTACTGTTTTTGGTGTTTTGGTTTGGTTTTACAAATGTTTCCTCTTTTCCTCTGAAGCATCAGGGTACATTTAGTAGAGAGACTCACCCATGCCCATACAGAGTCCCTTAACATTGTGGGGAGCTTGGGAACACCTTAGTGACACGCCAGGGAGCGTCTGTGCAGGCCAGCCTATCATTTTGTAAGGCTGAGAGGGCTTGAAGTCTCAGCATTAAACAAGAGTTTTTTTCCTTGGTTCCATTTCTAGAATTCTACCGAAAGGAAGTTATCAGAGGTCTGACCAAGGGTTGGCGATGGAAGGACAGTCTTACTCTTTTAATAAGAGTAAAATGTTAGAAACCTCCCAAGCCCTCAAGGAAAGGGATTTAGTCCAATAAGTTATGGAACGTCGGTGTGCAGACACTGGGATGGAGTTTTCAGAAACTTTCATAGGAGTTTTATCCTATCGTCTATTCAGTGGAGGGAGGGGAAGTTAGATTCAAAACTGTACATAAGGGGTGGTCTCAGCTATGTTTAGAAATAGGCCAGGAAAAGAGAATGAGAACAAAAAATACACCAAAATGTTAACAGTAGTTAGCTCAGGGTGGTTTTTCTTTGCCTTGGAGTGTGTGTGTGTGTGTGATGTTTTCTATAATCAGGAATGTTTTTTCACCATAAAGGACAATAAAAGATGTTAGACCAAAGTATTAACAAGATTTAACCCATTTAAGAAGGACCAAGACTTAAAGTACTGCTCCCCTTAGCCTTCCCTCACCTGTTCAAAAAAAAGAAAAACTGGCAAAAGGTTAACTCTCTGATTCCTTTTTTTTATTCGAAGGGCATAAACACATCATAATTATGGGAAGGGTATGCTTTGCCATGTGGTATAATGGCTTCATAGCTGACTTTTCAAAGAATTGCTTGTCAGGATGAGATTTCTGGGTCGTCCTGTGCTCAGCACACCTACTGCCCACGATACCTTTGTCCTGGCTGCGTGGTTTCCACCCCTCGGGCCAGGTGAGCCCCACTGTCCCATGACTGTTAATTTCTTGTTTCTAACAGCACCATCCCCTGAATAGCCCACAGGTGACGTGGGTTGGGTGGAGTAATTCTGAAATTGTATATATGTAGGGAGTTGCTAGGGGAACCACAGGACATTCAGGACGTGGAAGAGAAAAGAAATCCTGTATCTGGTACAGGGTAACTTGGGTGGCTGGGCTGGGTGGATGGAGAGAGATGGAGGATGGCCGATGGATGGGTAGACACCAAGGAGAGAGGCAGGATTGGTGGCTCACTGGGTCCGGGATGAGCAGAAATAGGCTGGGCAGGTGGCACGTTCTCAAGGTGTAAGTATCTACAGAGTAAAGACCCAACGGCTTATCCTGGCCCAGCCAGGGCTTCATCACCTGACACTTGCTTCTCTTTCCACCCCATTTCCGCCTGCTCATCTGCCAGCCCCACCGAATGTTCTAGACTATTCTGGACAGTTCTCTGTCGGCGAATGCATACTCCCTGCCTGCACACTTTGCACGAACTATTTCCTCTACCTGGGAAGCTGTCTATAGCCTGGAGGCCTCCTTTCTCTGCCTCCCATCAACCCCCGTGGTGGGGGTCAGAGGCGGCACCAAAAAGTATTGGTTGGACTGCTGAGGGGGATCTGTTAGAAACACATGGGGTACCTGAGGTGGGGATGCGCGTGGTTTTCCCTGAGCCTTTCCCTGTCCAGGGGTGTTGCCTATTAATAAGTGATTTATGTGGCCCAAAAGCCAGGCCATTTGCAGACCCATTCTTCACCTAAAGCTAAAGGGTAAGCCAACCATATGGTGAAAGTCTCCGGAGGAGGGTTTTTCTCAACAGCACCATGACCCGCCGCCTACAGCCAACAAAGGGCTTATTTATAAACTATAGGGCCAAGTTGTGCCAAAATACTTCCCAGAATAAAGAGGATTAGGGATCCGTGCTCCTTTCCACGGGGCTGGCTCTGTGCGGAAGGGGGTGGGGTGGGGGCTGTGTCCTTCCTGCTGTCCAAGCCAGGTCCAGCACAAGGAATGTTAATTCTGAAGATTATGTTTCGGGTACCAGCCGCCTCTGTGCAGCATGCCGGCGCTAGAGGAAAAATAGCCCAGAACCTCTCCAGGAACAGTCAGCAGCCCTCGGTGACCGGGTCTGCGTCCAAGGCACTGTTGTTCTGGAAGAAATCCAGGATAAGAATGCATGGGTTCGCCCGTGTAGAAAAGAAATGCACCAGCAACTGCTTTTTATACAAATGTGCTAAAGTCATGGAAGAGACACCGACAGGTGGGGAACAGTTGTGTGGCCGGTGGCAACGTGGATGATTTTCCTCCTAAGTTTTCTCTCTGTTATATGGGATCTGTGAAGAGGAGGAAGTCGGAGGACTGCCTGCCTGCATGGGTTCGATGACTCTCAGACGGGATGTCCCACTTCCCCCTCAAAGCCCCCTCTGCTCCTCTCTGGTGCTTAGAGCGTAGCCTTCCCAGGATCCTGATAAATGGCAGGTCTCTGGCCACCGCCCCCAGAGATTCTGACTCAGGCACCTGCAGAGAGGCAGGGGCAGGGTCTGCCCTTCTAGCAAGGTCCTAAGTGGTGCTGATGCTGCTGGTCCTTGGAGCACACCTTAGACAGAGGTCAGGGGTGTTCTCATGCCGCCCCCAGGCCAGCAGCTGCTGGGAGTGAGGTAGCAGGGTGCTGGGAAAACGTGGAGCAGCCGGCTTTTGATAGGAGAAGTCAGACCTAACTTGGAGCGTCTGATGATTATCGCCGTGTAAATGCTCCCACCATGGCTGACGTCACACACTCATGTCCTGGGACACGTCCCACCGTGAGGTCCCTGGATGCAGGGCTGGCGGCAGTGTGCGCGCCGGCTCCCGTGAGCTGGTCTGAGCTGGCCCTGCATGCCCCTGCAGCCACAACTGTCCCGGCCAGCGCCTGCCCCTGGACAGAGCCACAACAGCTCAGCGCGCAGATGGACAAGCAAACGGCACCTGCTGTGGCTCGTCATACAGCGTGTGCACGCACACGTGATCGATGAATGCACGTTCGTGTTTCTACAGTTCTCAGTGGGATGGAAACCTGAGGTCCAGAGGTGGTTGTGCATTGAGCCCATAAAATTTCCAAAGTCAACTCCAGATAGTAGGTGAGAGCATGTGCTCTGTGCGTCTCTCGAGAAGCCCTGACTGCTGCTGCTGCTGCTACAGGGGCTTCTAGACAAGGTGCTGGGAACCGGCTGGTCTGGGCTCTCGGCAGCAGGCCCTCAATGTCCTCCTCCCAGCACCCCTGCAGTTGGTCCTGTCTGCCCCACTCAGAGATGGGAGACAAGTCCAGGGAAGAAAAGGGGGCTTCTGGAGGTGGAGCTGGGGCTTGGGCCATTTCCCTCAGGAAACCGAACTCTCCCCAGACCCCCTGGGGTTGGGGTTTCCTGTTCTGATAAAGGCAAAACCGGAAGTGACTCTGCAGAGGCCTGGGCCTCCCCTCCCCCCCCCACCCCCCCACCCCGCCCCTCCTCAGGACAGGACTAACCCTGCCTGGCTCAGGGCCCTTCCCCACATGGCCTGCTGTGACATTCAACCACAGCTTCCCCTGCACACCAGAGGGGGGCTGGCCAAGCACCTGCTGTCCACCGTGTCCACCCAAGAGAAGCCCTTGACACTTGCAGGCCAGCCCTCTCCACCCCTGCCCTTCCCCCAAATGTCAGTGCCTCCCCCCTCCCAGGGGGGATACCCACACTCCTCGCCTTTTCCAGGACACCCCCTACTCCTTAATTTAAAAGTGTCTGTAAAGCCATGTCTTACCATGCACGGCACTGTGGACTCGGATGTGGCTCATCCCAATATCCGGCCCACCCCCACGGGGAAGAAAGATCCCCAACCAGATCACAGCGTCCACCTGCCAGTAGGGAAGCCTCTAGCAGCCCCCCCGAGAGCTGGACCGCATGCTGATGTCTGGGTCCCACCCCCAAATCCTGAGTTGGTCTCACTCCAGTCCTTACCAGGAGGCATATTAAAGCTCCGCTGGGGGTCCTGCTGTGCCATAGGGATGAGAACCACCATCTGAGATCCTTCCCCAAACAGACACGAGCCTAGAACATTAAACAGTCAACAAGGCAAACCTCTTAGGAGTTTAATTTCAGTTCTTCAGCAAGCACGGATTGAGGATCTTCTGCTGCTGGGGACAAAAATGGTCATCACCCCGGAGGACGCGACAGCATGGGAAGGTCTCTTCCACAAGGAGGGGTGTCCTGAGGGCTCTTCAGGAGGCTTGACTAGGTGCCTCAGGAGGAACGACTAACTGCCCGGGAGAAGCCAGGAGGGCTTCTGGCTGGACAGATGAGTCTGAGCTCACCAGGTAGATTTAGGGACAGGATCATTCCGGGAAGAAGAAACCATGTGTGAAGATGACACAGAAGGGTGTACATCTGAGGGGAACGGCTGGTGGCCGGGAGGGCACACGAGGAAGGGTCCAGCAGGAATGCAAACAG